CTTGCATTCTCAACTGTCAAAAAATTAGGCGCTTCCTCAAATCCATCAAAATTATTATTTATTGTATCCAAAAAAGGGAACAAATTGTTTAGTTGCATCGTTTTCTGTTTGTCTCTTTTTTAATCGAAGAAATTGAAAAGAGGCAGATATATAATAATGAGGAAAATCTTTCGTCAAGTTGGCCATGCGTTGACGGTTCTTATTGATAATCAGGCGAAATCAGAAAAAAACATGCGAAATCATTCGGAGGGGTAAACTGGTGTACAAATTAGGGGAAATCACGAGGAAATCCAAAGCAATCGCGGGGAAAATTATAAGAAAAATCTTGGGGAGGGGGGGTCTTAAGGAAATCATGGAAAATCAGTCAATTTCTAGATCTAATGCATGCGCAGTCTTCAACGATCTTTATAATTTGAGGTTATGTTATCAGGGAAATTCTTGGGCAGTCTTATTGGTAATCAGAAGAAATCAGAGGAAATCATGCGAAATCATACATGATTTCCCCTAAAACTGTTATCTGGTGTACAAAACTGACCTGCGGTTTATCCGGAGGAGTAAACTGGGTGTACAAATTAGGGGGAATCTATAGGAAATCCTAGGCAATCAGGGGAAATTATGGGGTAATGATGGGTAATCAAGGAATATCTGAAGGAACTCAGGCGGAATCCCAAGGAAATTATGGGGAATTTTAAGGTAGTTAGTCAATTTCTAGATCTAACGCATGCGCAATTTTCAAAAATCTTTTTAGTTTGAGCTTATGTTATCAGGGGAATTTTAATCTGAAAAAAATTATGGGAAATCATTCATATCCCCTAAAATCGCAAAAACTGACCTGCAGTTTACCCCTCGGAATTCGGAAAGGAAATGTGTAATTGAGGAAAATCAATAGGCAATTTGAAGAAACCAATCAGAGGAAATTATAAGGAAATCAGAAGAAATAATGGGGGAATCAGGAAGAATATTAAAGAACTCAGGGGAAATCTTAAGGAAATCCTGGGAAATCTTGAGGAAATCAGTCAATCATTAGATTTAACGCATGCGGAGTTTTCAAAAATTTGTATAATTTGAGCATATGTTATCAGGGGAGTTCTTAGGCAATCTTACTGGTAATCAGAAGAAATCAGGGAAAATCATTCATGATCTACATAACTATTAACTTTTGTTCTGTTTCTGGTCATACACTAATTATTGTCGAAACGTTGGCTTGTTCCTACCCTAGATTGTAGCTTTTTATTTGAGAAAATTTGCTTGAAAACTTGAGAAACTGAAGATGCTCTTGGAAAATTGTAATTTCTGGAAACTTTAAGAAACTTATTCATTGAAAATTGCTTCAAATTTGATAGTTGTTTCTAGAAACTCAAGAAAACTGAAGAAGCTTTGATTGTAACTTGTAATTTCTTGAAGTTTCCATAAATACTTCGAGATAATGCTTTGCCAGAATCACTTACTGCCTGATATGCGAATTTCAAGTAAAAAGCAAAGAAAGTCTCGTATGATTTGCTTTGAAAATTGAGAAACTCCTCCAAACATTTTGATGCCTCATTTAAAAAATTTAAAAAGAAACTTCTCAATTAACGGAGGCATAATTTTTGCTTAAAATATTGAAAAAATTAATCCTCTTTGAAAATTGTAATATTGACAAATTGCATTAAGCCTCATTTAAGAATTGTTGCTTGAGAAATTAAATATTATGAACAATTATAACAAATTTGAAAATTCTTTTTGTAGTTCCCACGTATAAACGGTCCCATTAAAATTAAAAATTCCACCTTAAAGCACGTCCAAAAATGGATTCTTCCGATAACAAACACCATCGATTTGATGTCTAAAGTGCCCGAATTAATCATGTGTTCCTTCAGTTTTGTTTAACATAAAGTGAAATTTTGTTTTTGGAATAATGGGTTAATCTTCACTTAGGATACCAAATTAAATTTTAATAGGATTTATTGGTGATTAAAAACACTTTTCGATTTTCCTTTTAGAAAACGTAATTATAGGCTTTATAATTGTTGTCCATGTTAGTCAAGGTTTTATTGTTCAATGAAAATTTTAGGAGCTAATTGTTCATTGAAAGTGTCAAAACACGAACAAATTACGATAATTTTACGTTTCGGACACGTACTACAACGATTAATAAGTATTCTGTTGGTGTATGTTTTTTTAAGGCCAGGCTTATGATTAAACAACAAGTTGGAGGAGTTTTTGGTATGTTTTTCTAATTGAAATTCATATGACTTTTATAGGAAATTAATATTTCACTGTTTATTTTAGAAGGGTTTGTTTGGGTTAGTGCATAATTAAACTAACACTGAAATGAACCTGCAACCAGACAGCACACAAAGTCTCGAAGACGTCTTTTTTAAGTCTGCATTACGTCTGAACATTAAAAAAAGACGTTGTTTTGAAGATGTCGTAAATTCACATTTTAAAGAAAACTATCTGGTATGTAGTACAACCAGGCCTCAAAGTGAATACCTAATGGTTTATGTTTTTGAAAAAGATTATCTCGTTGAAAACGTCTTTAAGTTCACATTTTCTCTATTCCAGGCTCTTGGATGTTTGGGTTAGGATCCAGAAAATTGAAACACTGAAATCAAGGATGGCTAAGAATTATCATAAAAAAAATTTCAAGAACCAGGAATAGAAAAGTAATGTAAATTCATGAATAAAAAACATAGAAAAGAATACTTTTTTGATAATTTTTCCGCATCCCTATTTCACATTTTCTCTATTCCAGGCTCTTGAATGTTTGGGTTAGGATCCAGAAAATTCAAACTCTGAAATCAAGGAAGGCTAGGAATTATCATAAAGAAAATTCAAGCACCAGGAATAGAAAAGTAATGAAAATTCATGAATAGAAAAGATAGAAAAGAAGACTTTTTTGATAATTTTTCCGCACCCCTATTTCACATTTTCTCTATTCCAGGCTCTTGAATGTTTGGGTTAGGATCCAGAAAATTCAAACTCTGAAATCAAGGAAGGCTAGGAATTATCATAAAGAAAATTCAAGAACCAGGAATAGGAAAGTAATGAAAATTCATGAATAGAAAAGATAGAAAAGAGGACTTTTTTGATAATTTTTCCGCACCCCTATTTCACATTTTCTCTATTCCAGGCTCTTGAATGTTTGGGTTAGGATCCAGAAAATTCAAACTCTGAAATCAAGGAAGGCTAGGAATTCTCATAAAGAAAATTCAAGAACCAGGAATAGGAAAGTAATGAAAATTCATGAATAGAAAAGATAGAAAAGAGGACTTTTTTGATAATTTTTCCGCACCCCTATTTCACATTTTCTCTATTCCAGGCTCTTGAATGTTTGGGTTAGGATCCAGAAAATTCAAACTCTGAAATCAAGGAAGGCTAGGAATTCTCATAAAGAAAATTCAAGAACCAGGAATAGGAAAGTAATGAAAATTTATGAATAAAAAAGATAGAAAAGAAGATTTTTTTGATAATTTTTCCGCACCCCTATTTCACATTTTCTCTATTCCAGGCTCTTGAATGTGTGGGTTAGGATCCAGAAAATTCAAACTCTGAAATCAAGGAAGGCTAGGAATTATCATAAAGAAAATTCAAGAACCAGGAATAGGAAAGTAATGAAAATTCATGAATAGAAAAGATAGAAAAGAAGACTTTTTTGATAATTTTTCCGCACCCCTATTTCACATTTTCTCTATTCCCGGCTCTTGAATGCTTGGGTAAGAATCCAGAAGATTCAAATTCTGAAATCAAGGAGGGCTAGGAATTATCATAAAGAAAATTTAAGCACCAGGAATAGAAAAGTAATGAAAATTCATGAATAGAAAAGAAGACTTTTTTGATAATTTTTCCGTACCCCTATTTCACATTTTCTCTATTCCAGGCTCTTGAATACTTGGGTAAGAATCCAGAAGATTCAAATTCTGAAATCAAGGAGGGCTAGGAATTATCATAAAGAAAATTTAAGAACCAGGAATAGAAAAGTAATGAAAATTCATGAATAGAGAAGATAGAAAAGAGGACTGTTTTGATAATTTTTCCGCACCCCTATTTCACATTTTCTCTATTCCAGGCTCTTGAATGTGTGGGTTAGGATCCAGAAAATTCAAACTCTGAAATCAAGGAAGGCTAGGAATTATCATAAAGAAAATTCAAGAACCAGGAATAGGAAAGTAATGAAAATTCATGAATAGAAAAGATAGAAAAGAAGACTTTTTTGATAATTTTTCCGCACCCCTATTTCACATTTTCTCTATTCCCGGCTCTTGAATGCTTGGGTAAGAATCCAGAAGATTCAAATTCTGAAATCAAGGAGGGCTAGGAATTATCATAAAGAAAATTTAAGCACCAGGAATAGAAAAGTAATGAAAATTCATGAATAGAAAAGAAGACTTTTTTGATAATTTTTCCGTACCCCTATTTCACATTTTCTCTATTCCAGGCTCTTGAATGTTTGGGTTAGGATCCAGAAAATTCAAACTCTGAAATCAAGGAGGGCTAGGAATTATCATAAAAAAATTCAAGCACCAGGAATAGAAAAGTAATGAAAATTTATGAATAGAAAAGATAGAAAAGAGGACTTTTTTGATAATTTTTCCGCACCCCTATTTCACATTTTCTCTATTCCAGACTCTTGAATGTTTGGGTTAAGATCCAGAAAATTCAAACTGAAATCAAGGAGAGCTTAGAATAATTATAAAAAAAATTTGAGAGCCAAGAATAAAAAAGTTATGAAAATTCAGGAATAAAAAAAAGAAAAGAAGACTTTTTTGAAAAAATGTGCGCACCTTAAATATGTTTTCAGGCTGATGTCTGAAAGACGTTGGATTTTGTATGTAACATACGACGTCTTCAAAATGTCTTTAAGACGCCTTGAAGACGTAAGAAAAACGTCTTGAATGTCGTTTGTGGACACCTTAGGGACGTCTTTAAGATGCTTTCGTGCTGTCTGAGCAATTTGTTATAAATTTCTACATTTTGGTTAAAATAAGGTTTATTAATGAAGATTTATATAAATTTACCTGATCAAATGCACAGGAAAATCTCCCAAAATACCACATAAAACTTCATTCTTACCGCACTACCAATAACCCGTGATTTTCTCCCATTTTTAAACCTTCAACTGCTCGTTTTACCTATTACACTAGTAATGTTTTGAAAATAAAAACTCAATTAACAATTTCTTGTCGTTAAAAAAAGTTAGGTACCAAACTTGCAGCAAGTGTGTGCCGACTGTAAAAATTATATTGCCGCTGGTGGCTCGGTAATAGACCTTGTGCTTGGAATTTAAACAAACATCAATATTGAACAATTCGTCGTTTTTTTAAAAGGATAACGTACAAATTTACGATATTTAAATTGCCCATCTAATTTGCTTATTAGTTGTTGTGGCGATAAAGGAAATTGGTGTTAATTTTTTTCAATTAAAAATGATCTTGACTTAAATGAAATACAAGTAAATATTTATGGACAAAACAGTCAAAAATTTGTATTTCATGAATACATTTCCTAGTAATATCTATTTCGCACCCTTTTATATTTTGAAGATTTTATGAAACTTTTGTAGCGAAAAAAGGAATAAGGGAAGGAGCACATTATATTGAAATTTCAAATTGAAGAAACAATAATAATTTGTTCAATTCTGAAGTAAAACATCAGATCAATCAGATCAAGGTATTATCAAATTGAAATTTTTCAGAAACTCACAACTTTTCTGTTGATTTTTTAGTGAGAATTGCCTCAAAGTTTGAAAAACAGTCTCTCAGATTCTTTTGTAAGCCTAATCTGAGTTTAAAGCCTCAAACATCCAGGTAATAGGGTGTATAAATATTCAAAAAATAAAACAAAATAGTCGTAGAAAAAAGTATAGTATTTTACTCGCATTGTAATAGCTATCATTACATACTTGTTAAATAATATACTTATTAATTTATTTATTGTAAAGTATTAACAAGTGTATAGACAATTAAATACAAGATTATTTACACTAAAAATTATTATACAAAAAAAAACACACAAACTTCGTGTAATAAAGAACACATTTACCTCAATAATATCTGGAACTTTTTTTCCAAAAAAAAAAACATTTATTTTCTAATAGACACACATCCCCGAATCAAAATGTTATCACATGTTTGTAAAACTTAAAAATAGGAACAAACCTTTCTTGTTAAATATTACTAAGTCAAGACAAAGTAACAAAACAACAATAACAAAGTTATAAAAAACAAAATCATCTTATCTACAACAATGTACAATCACTAGCTGGGTTTTTTGATCTTGAATTTGTTCCTATGCGAGTATTTGAATCTTTTCAGTTCTTGTCTGGAACAAAAACAAATGGAGAAAAATTACACAAAATTCAGTTTCCTACCTGAAATATTCAACAGTCTTGTGAAGACCAGTATTCAAATCAACCTTTGGTTCCCAGTTGAGGTACTGTTTGGCCCTTCCAATGTCCGGCCTTCGGCGTTGAGGATCATCCTCGACTTCGCTTACATGTACAACTTTACTGTGCCCTCCCACTAGGTTTTTGATTATTGAAGCAAATTCTACAAACGGAAAAAAATTCAACTTACTAATAAAGTATATTATTGACTTACCAGTAATGGTATGCTCAACAGGGTTGCCCAAATTCACTGGTAACGAGTAATTCGAATTCATAAGCGCTACCATACCTTCGACCAAATCCGAAACGTATTGGAAGGACCTTGTTTGGTCACCAGACCCGTAAACCTAACAAAACAATAATCAACCCAAAGAAGACATAAAAAAAGCAACTTACAGTTATAACGTCATTTTGTAAGGCCTGCAAAATAAAGTTTGAAACCACTCTTCCATCATTCAAGTGCATTCTGGGGCCGTAAGTGTTGAAAATCCTAGCCACCCTCACTTGCATGCTTTCTTGCTTTGCGTAGGCGTAAGTTAGGGTTTCCGAGACCCTTTTACCTTCATCGTAGCAAGCTCTAGGACCTAAAAAGAGATTTATCTAATAATAATTAATCATTATTGGAAATGGCTTACCTATGGGATTCACATGTCCCCAATAAGTCTCAGGCTGAGGATGAATATCAGGATCACCGTAAACTTCCGATGTACTCGCTATTAGAATTTTGGCATTTAATCTTCTAGCTAAACCTTATAAAAAAAAAATAAAAACCTATATTTTAAGTCAGTCAAAATAAGCAAAAATTTTACCTAATATATTAATAGTCCCTAAAGTATTTGTCTTAATAGTCTTGACTGGGTTGTGCATGTAATGGGGTGGACTAGCCGGACTAGCCAAATGATAGATTTCGTCCACTTCAATGAATAAAGGGTTGACGATGTCGTGATGGATCAATTCGAAATTTTCGTGGCCGAGCCAGTGTTCGACGTTGCGTTTTCGGCCGGTAAAAAAGTTGTCGACAACGATAACTTCGTGGCCTTCCAGCATCAGGCTGTCGACCAAGTGGGAGCCTACGAAACCTGCACCGCCTGTAATCTGGAATAGAGGGTGGATTTTGTGAAAATGTGATTATTTTTTTCATAAATTTCAATCTTCAATCTATCAACAAACTCGCAAAATATCAGTGTTAAAACCAATAAATTCCTCCAATTTCCCATAAATTGCTTCAAATTCCCCATAGTTTCAGCAAAGAACTAGGTGGTTTGCACCTTGATACTTCCTTATCCTGTTAATAAAGTAATAGGATCAATACCATTATCATAGTAATCTTACTCAAACAATAGATAAATCTTTTGGGGACAATATACCTACTTTACCTACAATTTCAAATTTTTCAGGTCAAATACATTTCCACCGTTTGAACATTATTGTTATTGAACTTCATAAAGAAACGGATCCCAATTGTTATTGTTATAAATTGTAATCAAGATTGTAATCTCACATTTACTGTGAAAAATTATTATTTTTTTTTTTTTCAAATTGACAATCCACAAAATTTAGTACTGATTTACTTGGTTATTTATATAACAAATACAGTTTGCTACATAAACAAAAAAAAAAAAGATACTTCATACATAAGTGTGAACAACTGAAGTTTTGTATTGAAGGTAATATCGAGTTTGCTGCTGTACTACTATACAAAGAACAACTGAAAGTCATTGCTTTGTGCATATATCGACGAGGACCAAATATTTGTGTGCTGGTGACTCTTAATGTCAATTTTATCAACCAAAATAATCAGATGAAACAACTTCTGGAGCTGTTAAATGCTTACGTATAATCTGAAACAAACTATCTTTAAAGTTACCTGTGAGACTGAGAAAACATCTACACTACTTCATATTTTTCACAATTCAAAAAATGATTCTTCTAGTTACGTACTGAGTACAACGCTGTCGGATTATGATGCAGAGATTATTAATATAAACCTTCCAACTGAGAGAAGCCAGCATAGCATAATAATCGAAATAATTGCGTGCTTAAAAGAATTTTTTTCAAAGACGAAAATGACTTACTTTAGACAAGAAATTAGTGTTATGGTCATCCATCTATGAATGTGAGTCAGTATTTTTAACAACATATTTCCAGTCAAGAACTTTTACAAGTCCAAAAAGTTATCGCCATAGATCACCAGAGATTTATTTTTTCAGCAATAGTATCACAAGTTCAATTACAGATAACAAGATAATATACATTCTATGCATTAATATTATAATAAACTTTGACACATCTTATTTCCCTACTACCTACTAATCCTACTGCTAAAGTTTGGCACACTATGGTATATAAGGCTGACATTTCTGTTCTTAACTTTTCTTCTATTTTTTCCATGACATATATTAATTTTGTAGTCCTGATTTTTTAACATGTATCGTATTACAGCTTTATATTAAAGTTGTTTTATTGATAGTAAATTGCTATCTTTGTAAACCAGAAGCGATGGATAATATTTACTTTTAAATAACATTACTTTTATCAGCCAGTTTTGCGCAATTTGTAATTTTTCTAAAAATGTCACCCCCAAACCACAATTCCATAATTTATAAGAGATTCCACTACTAGTGCATAGTAGATCAAAGTTTTTGGATTTACTACATTCCTCATCTCATAGCACTTAAATATTAATCTAATTTTGTCGGTTACAGCAATTATTACAATCTGATTCATGAATTTTCAAATTATGAAAAGTTGGTAAATGACAAGCTGAGAATGAAAAAGCAACAAATTTCGTTCTATTAACATTTAATGAGAGCAAACAACCATCAAGCCAGTGTTTTATTTTTTGCATTGCCCTTTCAGCTATCATTCTTGTTGATTCCCAATTTTCCCCACTACCTATTATTCCTGTGTCATCAGCAAAACAATAGACGTCACCCTCTGAAGTAGCAGACATAATCCCATCTATATAGATAATGAAAAGCAGTAGTGAAAGCACTATCCCCTGCGGTACTCCATACTCCACGTCAGCTTGTCACTCAGTTCCCCAGAAATGATGACCTTCTGTGGGAGGAGATTCTCGTCTCAAGGAGTTGGGCTCCCCGAAAGAACACTTTTTTCGTCTTTAGCATTCTCATTTACTTTTCGATTACGTTGACAAGGACAACATTCGTTCTACTCCCTGAGACGTGAATCCGGCCCCTGATATCTATTTGTCAGATATGATTTTATTAAAGTATTTGGCAGTCTTCTGAGACCTATGCAATTTAGTCTGCTGAGTAGAATATGATATGCCATAGTGTCAAATGTCAAATGCTTTTTGTAGATCTAGGAAGATACCTATAACTTTTTTTCCACTGTCCAAATTTCTTAAAATCTTCCCTGAAACTCGACACAGAGCATTTTCAGTACTCAGACTCTCTCTGAAGCCAAATTAATTTTCACTGAGTAACTCATATTTATCCAAAAATAATAATATATGTGTTATAGGTTCTAATAAAAATTGAAGGTAGATTTTCAATAGGTCTGAGCAAATGTAATCTTCCCCACCCTTCACTTTATTTTTCAATTATTTTATTTGGCCTAAAGCTCTGCATGACAGGTTTCAAGAAAAATGGATCTCTCACTTTTTCCCTTTGAACAACTTCACCTGGCTTTATTTTACTAGCTATTCCACCTGCAATGGAACTAAAATAGTCATTAAACTTCGCAGCAATTTGTTTTTATTTGAAATTTCTTATTTATTTTTGCTTATAATGCATTTTTTATTTCTACGCCATAGGTATACCTATGGCCTGAATGAAGATATATCTTTATTTGAAGCTTCCTTAATTACTTGCCACAGATTCTTAGGATTATTGTTACACTCATAAGCTCGAGTTTTATAATAATAGAATCTTGAAGATCAAATAAGTTTGGAGATAGTATTTCTATACATTTTATACCTGTCTAATATAGCTTGGTTATTTTTATATACAGTACATCAGAGCTGGGCAGGGCTTGAGTGCTTTGTGCTTGCGAAAGTGCTTGAAGCCCTTTGAGGGCTTGAAAGCCCTGTGCTTCAAGCCCTTTTATAGATTTGTAATTGGGGCTTGCAAAGTCAATTACTTTAGAAAAGTGCTTGGTAATTTGTAATTGAAAAAAGTAATTCAAGCCCTTTCAATGAGCTTCAATTACTTTTAGAGGGCTTGAAGCACTTTTGGGAGCTTGAAGCCCTTTGAAAGGGCTTGAAGCACTTTAAGAGGGCTTGAAGCACTTTTGGGAGCTTGAAGCACTTTGAAAGGGCTTGAAGCACTTTAAAAGGGCTTGAAGCACTTTGAAAGGAATTTGAATTGACCATCACTCAACCTATCCCCCACTTGAAAATTTTCGATCGTGTTTTGTCCCTTAATTTTTTTTTCCATTATTTGAACTTGAACCGTCTTATGTCTTTTCTCTCTTAACAATGGAGGTTTTGGGCTTGAGCTTAGAATGGAATTTAAAAAAAAATAATGAACTTATTATTCAAATAAATAATTAATTTATATTGGTAACCTATTTAACTTTATCACTGGATTTTTTCCACTTTTCCCCATTGAACATTTTCAAAACCTTAAAATTGAATTACCATGTAGTACCCCAGAACTAAATCTCAAAAAAAAACATACTACTGCTACTCTGTGAAATGTAAAGTTCGTCTCTACTATACCAATTCTGTGTGATGAGTGTACGTGGTAGCTTATGCCACTTTGAGAATTTTATTACAAATTCAAAGTGCTTTAGGCACATTTAAAGAGCTTCAAGCACATTTAAAGAGCTTGAAGCACATTTAAAGAGCTTGAAGCCCTTTTCAAGGCACCCCCAGCACTTTTGATGTGCTTCAAGCACTTTTCAAATCACTTTGAGGGCTTTGTGCTTGTCAAGCCCAAAGCACTTTGAGGGCTTTGTGCTTGTGAAGCACTTTTGAAAATAAAAAGGAATTTGTGCTTGAAATTGAAGCACTTTGATAGAGGGCTTAGGGCTTAGTGCTTCAAGCCCTTTTACTGAGGGCTTTGCCCAGCTCTGCAGTACATACAACAAACCCTTTGTAATCCATGGTTTTAAGTAGTTTTTTAACCTTTTTATTTTGGTTTTTGTTGAATCATTTATTATAATATTTTTTAACAAATTAAAGGCGAGTTTAAACAACTTCATAACTTTAATTTAGTGCGTAATTCACAATTTAGTGCATAAGCTTTAAAGTTAAATTTATTAATTTCTATGGAAGCGTGTATACATCTATTTAATGCTCAATTCATAATTTAGTTCATAATGGATAACCTTAAAAGTTCCCAACTTTTAACTTTTATGCGTTGAATTATGCAAAAACTGGACCTTTTGAGTTCTATCAGGGTCAAATTTTAAAATATCAATAGAATATTAATGACATTTCAAAAATTATGTATTAAATTATGAAGTTGTTTAAACTGGGGTATTGAGTTATGTATTAAATTACGCATTAAATTATGGAAAAATTACGACTTAAATTTATCAAAAGTTGTTTAAATCCGCCTTAATAAAATTGACAGTACAATCATTTACATTATCTAAACTAGTTACCCCATTCCATATTGCTTTTGGTACAAGCCTTGAGAATATTTTATGATTGAGTATAATAGTGATGTGTCGAAGGGAACGTTCCCTAGGGAACTTTCCCATTCCCAGGGAACGTTCCGGGAACTTTCCTTTAAGGTCAGGAAAGTGAACAAAAACTGGGAATGTTTTTGAAAAAACAAAATTGAATGATATTTTATAGTCTAATAACCTACTACACCAAAAAGCGCAACAATTAACAAGTTGTCTTTTTTTTGTTAGCACTTCGAGATTTTCAGGGTTTAGTAGGTACAATATTACAATACAATATTTAGTATTTTTTCAGGGTAAAATTATTTAGTTTTTCTTACTACTAGGTAAAAAATAAAATGTAGTTTTTATTTTTTTATTACTTAATATGTGTGTGCGTCTATTCTATAGTTACAATGTACACAGTAGTAATGTAGTAATGTTTAAGTTTTTTCACTGATCTCAAGAGTCAAGAGTACAAAGACATAGGTATAAATATTTTATTTTGAACCATATAT